GGTCTGCAACCTTAACAGGTCTCTAACAACTGGCATATATGACTGCAGCAGGACTGAGGCTCCAGGGTGGCCATGATGCCAAGTCCTGGCCAAGCGCTTCCTTCCCCAGTCTGGCTCCTTGGTGTAGTCTCTGATGTTACCTTCCTGCCACACCTTGATGTAATTAATAACAATTAGGACGCTGACAGAAGTGATGGTTTGTCATGTCATCAGACCCCTGAAGCACTCTACAGCTGTGCCCTGACAGAAAAGCACAGCTGCAGAGCACTTCAAAAGTGCCTGATCGAATGACAATCTGAGCCCTCATTACATGAGGTGGAGGACTCCAAACTGCCCACCCAACCCTCCAGCTGGGCAGCTATCTATTGTCTCAAGCACCTGGCTGGCACTTATCTCACTCCTGAGTTGTGGCCCCCTGACCCTATCTGCGTCTTAGAGCACAAGCTGCCTTAGAGGCAATAATCATGGCCTCTCTCCTCCCCTATAGCCATGCCCATGCCTTGCAGGTGTTATTCTGACAATGCTCTGGACCTTCCTGCAGGGCCCTCTGCCTTCTTACTTTAGCTACAGCCCACCTGTTCCACCCTGGCTTTCTTGGCCTCAGCCTACTCTGTTCATCAGTCTCCAGGCCCCTGGCACCCAGTATTGCCTTTCTTGGACCCATCAGCCCCTTGAGGTCCCGGGCCCAGGCAGTGGTGCTCTTTAAGTTCTCAGCTCCCTGGGATCCCTGACTTGGACAAGGCTGCTTGCATACTACTCAGCCTCCTGGGTCCCTCACCCAGGCTGTTCTTGTGCCACTCAGGCCCCTACAGGGCTCTATGCAGGGTGCTTCTCAGGTACCCCTGTGCTTGCTATGCCACCTCCATAGCCATAATCCTGTTCTTTAGTTTCCCCTTAAATGTAACATAAATACAAGTGGCTGTCTTCAACAAAAAAAATCTCCCCCACTTGGGGTTTATGCCATCCGGCGAACCCTACCTTCCTTTGGACTCTCACCTCCCAGGTCTCATGGGTGGCTAGGGTGCTTGCCAGGCTGCCATCTGTAGCCCCTCTTTCGCAGGAAATCCACTCCCTGCAACATGCAGGACCAGACTGTCTACCTTGCTTCTTTTACTAGGCTTATATGCTCTGGAGCACTGCCCCTTCCAGTCAGGTGACTCTCTAATCAGGCACAGGGGTTTCTGGGTTTCTTGTGTCTGATTGTCAGCCTGCTCCTCCCTGCTGCAGCTGGATCCCACTTCTGGATCCCATTTTTCTCAGGCTGTCTGGGAATCTGCCTCACACAAAAAGCTTGTTAAAGGGCAGTTGGCTTTTGCTCAACTGCTTGCCTCTGCAGTGAAATAAGCCCTCTGCAATGTCTCCTTAAAGTAACAGGTGACACTGGCTCCCTCTTAAAATGACATTGGTAGAGAAGATGGGGAATGGACCTCTGATGTTATAATCTGTGTCATTTGATCTATGTTGGTGACTGAGATGCATATCTTAAGGATCTGGAGCAGGGATTCCTATACTTAGGGCGTGTCTACATGTGTCAATTTAAGGCGCTTTAGCGCAATTTAAGGCATATTAAGGTTGTGCGCATTTACATGTGTGTGCCCTAACGTGCCTTAAAAAAGCAGATATCAAATTTAGGCTCAAATAGCGAAAGTGCATTAATGCACATGAAGTGGCTCCTTAAGGCACATTAAGGCTCATTAACGCTGTGTATGGACTGACTTGGGACTAACTTTAGTCCCACATCAATCCGCACGCATGGTGTTAGTGCACTTTAATGCATGTGAGCATTAAACTAATACACATTAAATTTAGGTGTACCTAAATGCACGTGTAGACACACCCTTAAAATACAATCCTAAAACTATAGCCACTCAAATCAACAGAGCCAGACTCAGACCCCACTCTGATCTGTCACCATAGCAAACCTGGGATGAGGGCAACAGAACCCCTTTGCTTATTACTTACAGCCCCAGCTTGAACACTTTAGACATATCATTAATAATCCCCCGTCCCTACTGAAAAATGACAACCACCTCAAGATAATTAGGGAGGACAAACCTGTCCTGGCTTACAAACAGCCTCCCAACCTCAAATAGCTTCTCTCCAGCAGCAGGCTACCTAACTCCTATTTACCCACAGAAAACAGACCTTGCTCCAAACGCAGATGCCAGCTTTGCCCAGTCATGAACATGGATCATATCATTGCTGGACTAAATAACATGGATTATAACATCCAAGGTTCATTCATTTGCTTCTCTACCATCTGTGACATCAGTTCCAGAAAGACACACAAGTCTGTGGCAGAACACTTTAACTTCCCTGTGGACATTCAATTGCTGACTGCAGAATAGCTGTTCTTAGACAACAAAACTTTAAAAATGAACTTGAATGGGAAATTGCAGAACAATAAATCATCCACAGGTTGGATTGTTTTGAGTAGGGTCTAAACTATGGAGTCTTATCCCATTACCTGGATTAGCTTTTATAAACCCTATGTCCCTCTATGGGTTACCTGCTTTGTTTTTTCTCTCCTAACCACCTTGCCTCTTCTAGCAATGCTACCTCCTTTTTTCTCTGTCTTCCTTACTCTTTGCATTCGTAGCACTTTCTACTTAGAAGCTCTTCTGCTTCCTGTAGTCCCTTCATAACATCTGATGAAGTAAGCTGCTGGTCACAAAAGCTTATGCATCTCTGATTTAGTTAATCTAAGGGGCAAAACTACTCTACTTTCTGCCTTAATCATAAAACCATCCAAAATGTTCATTGCATAAAAATAATACAAATGTTTGCTATTGATTCAAAAGACATTGATTATTATTTTAAAAGGCCAATAAATACATGTAATATGTCATTAAGACCATAGGAAAGTGATGAATGCTTATGAGTGTTTTATACATGAGAGCCTCAAGGGACTCTGCTTTTGTGGTGAAGGGAAGATCTGCAGAAAGAAGGATGGAACTTCTAAAAGAAACCTCCTGATCTGCTGGAATCTCTGTTTATCTCTTTAATCTGTTCCTGTCCCTCCCCTCATAGTAGAAAGCAGAGAGATACACAACATTTTGTGTCTGATGAAGACAGTGGTAGGGGAAGAACAGGAACGACCAGCCAGGAAACAGCCAATGGGTGAGGTACAGAAGCTGAAGAATATTGCTTCTTTGGAGGAAGGGTGTTTCTGTTGATGCTTTACAGAGTGGTCCAGGAAAGGGAGAGAGGAGGTAAGGAGGAAGGAAGGGCTGATGAAGGGGTGGGAGTTGAATTTATTAGGCTCATGTTCCTCAGTTTATTCTCTTCCTTAGGGTCTTAAAGACTGAGGTTATGCCTTTTACAGACTTCTTTTGTACTTAGAAAAACAGAAAAATCTTTGGAAGGGCTTCTAAGCCTCAGAGAAACATTGTACTGAACATCTGGACTCTTAAGTAATGAGAATAGTCTCAATAGTGAATTTTAATATGAGTACTGTACTTTTAAACATTTTTTTTATAAATGAACAAGGGCTGTTTTTTCTACAGGATAATTAAACCCTTTACAAATAAAGTGGCTGATGAGAAGCCATTGAAGCGTTGTGTTTTCTTTAACTTTCTTTGTAGTCTAAATTATGTTTAGTTGTAATTTTATTTAAGCAATCAAAAAGCAAACACGTATATGACAGTGTGTAGGTGTGCATCTATGTGTGTGTATAATATATGTATGTATATATGCATATATATCAAGATTTTCAGCATAAGTGGGAGGAGAATTCTAAAAGAAAAAGCAAAGAATACTATAATGGCATACCAAAAAATCAGAGGGGAAAAGATAGATTATGATGTCTTATTCATCCTGCTGATACTGTTTTGTTTTGTTTTACCTTCTACAGGTTTTTGTTTAGTCTAGGTTTAACTTTACCAAGTCATATGGATTTCTTTGTCTTTTTGTGGGAGACTATTCTATAGTCGAGCAGAGCTTTTTGTCGGTAATTAGTTTCCCTTCATGATCTGTTTAAATTGTCCTTTTCTAAGTTTACAGACTTTTCTAGTTATAACTCTAATTCACACTAAATATTTCCTGTTATTGATTGCCATTTACACCTTTTTTATCTTTGTGGACGGTGATGTCCATAAATTCAGTTATTGTTTACTCAAACTAAGCCATTCTATACTTACCATGTATTTTTTTTTCCTTTTTAAATCCATCCTTCTAGTCCATTAATTGTTAACTGCTCTTCTGTGAATACCTACCAGATTTTCAAAGCATTTCTCTTATTGACAAGCCCACAAACTCATATTCCAGATGCAGTCCCTTCAAGTTGTAAAGGAAGGTATTATTATTTCCCTGATCTATGACTTCTGCCCACTTCCTACAACAACCCTAATTTAGCATTATGCTTATGACAAGTGTTTAAGCATGCATAGAATTATTAAGATAGAGAAAAATTGTCTTTATGGATTATGATCAATATCAACGTACTTTATCTGTTATTCAGACAATATTCTACTTGGTTTCAAAATGTAATATATGTGAATTTGTGAGTTACTGAAAATGGTAAAGGTTGTTGCTTGCACTCTAAATTATTCTATAATAATTAACTGAGTTGTGGAAGTTTTAATCAAGATTTTACTTGCAACCTGTGCACAACCAGCTGGGAAGTAACTTCAGACTAAATAAAATGGTGTTGTCTTTTTTAATTTTGTAATGACTTATGGGTGTTTTTGCATTGCCTAACTAAATAACATCCCATTAATATTATAAAACTATTTCAATCAATATCAAGCTTTGCTGAGCTTTTTTAGGATGAAATAATCATTAAGCTTTTAGGTCCAGTAAATATTGAAAAAGCTTTCAACATTAGTTAATATTAATTAGCTATTGTTTATTTTTTACTTCCATTAAGAATCAATGTGGAAGAGTCAATGTGATACTTGTGCTTCCAAAGTTCTGTGTTCATAGTACAATTCAATGCTTTCTGAATGTTTTGCTTTTTTAAATTGTATAATCTTTGTACTTTTGCTATTTTTTATCATTAGGAGAGAATAATAGAACGTTTGAAGGAGCAGAGGGAGCGAGATGACCGAGAAAGACTTGAAGAAATTGAATCCTTTAAAAAGGAAAACAAAGACCTAAAGGAAAAAGTTAATGCTTTACAAGCAGAACTGACCGAAAAAGAGGTCAGTGTTTGTTGTAAAATTAAAAGCCTATGTTCTGTTTTTTTCTGAAAGGCTTATCCTTAAGATGTGAGAAGATCTATCAGACACACTATCAAATCATTTAAGCCCTTGCTTATAATAATTTTTACTGAACACTCCTCACTTTCAAATTCTTGAATATCTCATACATAAAAGATCTCTTGCCCTTTTGGCTTTATTTTTGTATATTTATTTCTGTCTTTCCTTTCCAAGTGTTTGACAAAGGTTTAATATTCAATTGCAGCTCAGCTCCTACTTTCATTCTGTATCCACACTAATGCATTTAGCCAGAGCATGAGCTTCCAAGTGTAGTATCCAAAAGCATTTGACTCAGACTGATCACTGACACTTGGTGTTGTCTGGCAAAGTTCTTGTTCAAGCTGACCACGTTACTAAAGTTTTGGCTGTATCATTGCATGCCACTATTCTGTGCTTAGTTCATTAGATTTCATGACCCATATGTATAACATAAATCCAGAGTATGTCATATAGCAATATACTTCCCAACAGCATAACTAGGGTGGGGCAACAGGGGTAGCTGCCCTGGTTACCAACTTTGGTAGGGGGAGGGAAGGTGGCAGAAAAATACTGGCTGCAGTTGCAGCTGCACGGTCACACTGAGGACACAGCAGCAGCCAAAAGTCACTGCTGCCCCGTCACATGCAGCTTCCCTGGGTACCTGAATGCTTTGTTATGCCTCTGATATTTCTTTTTTGGTTTTTCTCTTGTGTACTTTGGAGAAGGGGCTGAGAATAAAAGGCAAGTAATGTTGCTAAGGGGAATATTCTCTCTATCCAAAATCTCTCTTAGAATTTGTTAATTTCTAAAGCTATCCAGTAATGAGCTTTTTAAAAGCCTCCTGCCATTTTATTCAGGGGCTACCAAGAACAATGGTTCCAGCAGCAGTTCTGTTTGAAATACTGTTTCTAGAACCAGACTGCCATTATCATGGCTATTGGCATGATGTCAAGAAACAAATACAAAGGAATCATGCTTTCAACTCCATGGAGAATACAAGAGATTTCAGTGCCAGTAAAAATCACACAGGGGAAGTCAGGAGAGAAATAAGATTGATCTTAAAACTTTTAAGAGTATTATGAGCAATAAACACAACATTGACAAAATAAATCAAAGTCAGTTTATTTAAATATATAGTGTACTGACATATATACCATCTTTAAACTCCTCTCCTGCAAAACTAAAATTTAATAAGAACTGTAACATAGATGGTAAGGCTGAACAAATGAAGAATTGACTATTTTTTAGGCTCTTGACGATTACATTTACAAAACCAGGTGAATCATCCATTTGTTTCCATTATGAAATTACAGCCTCTTTGAAGTAGAGGATCATTGCATATTCAAAAATAAATAATATTTTCATGGACATACATTTTTGTAAGCATTCTAAAAATGATCTTAGTTTTTTATTATGCTATAAATGCACATCCCCATAACTTCACACACATACAAGCCATTTTTGACGGACTGTGTAGCTGATATAATAATTTACTATGCTAGTGGTTTGGATCCGTGCAGCTTCTTGAATTAAGCTCTTTCTTTTTCTTGATAATTTTTCAGTCTAGTTTAATTGACCTCAAAGAACATGCATCTTCATTGGCATCAGCAGGGCTGAAAAGAGACTCCAAATTAAAGTCCTTAGAAATAGCCATAGAACAAAAGAAAGAAGAGTGTAGTAAGTTGGAAGCACAGCTGAAAAAGGTAAGTGTCATCAGAGACCATCTTATTTTAAAAGGATATAATTCTTCATTTCTTTAGTATGCAAATGTTAATGAAGAAAGAGATCCATTTTAAATTTGTCTATCTTCTGCTGTCTGCTGATATGAACATGAAACACTATTGACTTTTTCTTAAGAAGTCTGTATAAAAGTTGTCTGTGAGCCTGAAAAATTATCTGAAGTTTCCTGACTGAGGGGTTCCTGAAATCTGGTAAAAAAATAGCTGAAATGAGAAAAAGTTTAAAGAAACCAGCCATTTACTAGACGTGCAAATCTAAATTACTCTTAAAGATAAATAAAAATGTGTTATATTAAAAATAAGATTAATCTCATAGATGATTAATTCCTACTCTTTTTAATGAAAATGTCTTGTTTCTATATTGAATTTCTGCTTCGTATTTTTCTTTGAGTGTAAATTTGTGATGGTTATAGTAATATTTTACAGATCTCAGTTGGTTGTTTCTTATTATATCTCCAGCAAAAAGCAGAAGCAAACTTTTTAAGAAAAACATTTTAGAAGCACAATATTTTATAAAATATATTTTTATGCTACATTATAATATTTTTACCAAACTGATGAGCAAGTTTTCTTGATGCATCTTCAATCATACATTGTTTCTTTGACTTTTTCTTGTGTCATTTAGTACTGTCTGCACTCATTGTTCAAACACCAAACTCATGAGACATTTACTGGGTTTAAGCATCATGTTTGCTTTCTGCAATCCATAAATAAGTGTAGATCAAACTTAAAACCACAGGTTTGGACATAGGTTTGTAGAGATTTCTAAAAGCAAGTAATTAGTTGTGGCATTGATCACTGACATGTGAAGGGCCAGATTCTGATACCCTAACTCTGGTATCATTCTGATACTCTATCCTACAACTGAAGCAGCTACATTGATTTCAGTTGTACCTACCTCTGGAGAAAAGTATTACTAAGCACAAGGAAGGATGTCAGAATTTGATCCTTTATTTTTACCAAACATTTTATGTTTTAGAAAGTATGTATAGAATGGATTATATACTATACTGCATATTTTAGGAAAACATATGGGTATAAGTTTTGCTTTAGAGCAGTTAGCAACTTTGTATATATAGTAGGGCTGTGCGAAGCTTTGGGTGCTGATTCAATTGGGAGGAGATTTGGTCTGATCCAGTGGCCGAATCTCTGAATCCAAATTGAATTGGGAGACCAATAAAAAGGTCTGAATTGGTTTGAAGCCTTCGAATCAATTTGGAAAAAGATTTGGAGGAGATTCAGAGATTTGGGGATTCGGGCAGTCCCTGCTCGCTGCTGCAGGGAGCTGGACCCAGACCCCTGCTGGTAAGTAGGAGCTGGGGGGGGAGCTGAAGGAAGGGAGAGGGGACCATGGGGAGACCCCCACCAGGCTTCATCCCCCACCCACTCTCCCAGCCCCCCCACCCCATGGCTGCCCCTCTATGACAAGCCCCCATTCCCTGCCTGCTCTCCCAGCCCTGTCAATGTTTGCCTTGCCTGGTCCCAGCTCCTGGCTCTTAAAAAAAAAAAAGAAAGAAAAAGACCTGCACTTACCAGCTGCTGCAGCAGCCATTGGGGTTTCAGAGGGCTTGTGGCAGAGCCTGGTCATGCAGCACGTGGGGCAGTGGGGTGCAGCGGGGTTTGCCCCCTGCCTGACAGGAGCTGGTGAGAATGGGGCTTTTTTTTTTTTTTTTTTTTAAAGAGCCTGGATGCTGGGGCTGGGTGTGGCAGCCATGGGGGAGGGCTGAGAGAGTGGGCAGGGGATGGGAGCTCATGGCAGAGACCCGCATTCGGTGCAGGGCAGTGCACTCCTGGGGAGCATTCCCTCTGCCTGGCAGGAACTGGTGAGTGTGGGGCTTTTTTTTTTTAAAGAGTTGGGATACTGGGGCTGGATGGGGCTGGGAGCGTGGGTGGGGGATGAGGCCTGTTTGATTCAGAGATTTGGGTGATTTGGTGGCAGCTGAATCTTTGAATCAGATTCGGCCGAATCGATTCAGGACAGTGATTTGAATCACCGAATCGAATTACCGTCCCTCTGAATCTGCAGCGAATACTTGCCGCTTTGCACAGGCCTAGTAGTAACCTTTATTATATGCAGTGAGCATTTTTATCTTGGTAGTATGTCTTCCTAGAATTGTGGCACATGTAGATGTAAATAAAGTTAGAGCTTACCCTACATTCTTTCTGGAAGAGTAAGTGGGTCACTCACCCAGCTTACTTACCAAGGCCAGTCAGCTCTGAGTTTGGGCTGCCAGTCAATTTATTTTACCAGGGGCTCCCTTGTCCCCAAAGCAAGTAAAAAGAGCAAAACAAGCAAAAGCTTCAAAACCAAAACCTGGGTTTTTTCTTCAGATCTAGAAAGAGACAACCCAGGTTCTGTGCTTTTCCTTCAGCATATCAGCCTCTTCTCTCCACCCTTTTTGGCTTCTGGAGCTTTTAAGCCTCTTTGGCTAGGGACAGAAGTTACACATAAACCAGTTTAAGTGATCAAAAACTGGTTTAAACCTGTAACAGAACATAAGTTCAGTGAACATAAACCTGTTTCAAAATGGCCAAAACTGGTTTAAGGGTTAAACCGGTTTATGCAACTTCTATCCCAAACCCCTTCCTGGTTTAAGTTAAATCAGAGTCCCCCAGCATGCTTTTCAGCTTTGGGCTGGCCTGTCTGCTTCAGAGAACAAGGCTTGCCCCACTCCTCTCCTCCCTAGCCAGGGCTCCAGCTGGCTGAGGAGGTGGGGGACCTCAGGGTTTGCCAGAATTCCCCCTCTGATTTCCACCCCCCCGATGCCCTCCTCCACTGCTCAAGCAGGAATCCCCCTCTCCCATTCCAAGGACCCCTGGTTGACTCCAATTCTGAAGCGAATACTAGCCATTTCGCACAGGCCTAATATATAGTTGTTGGGATGAGGAAAGTTAATATTTTTAGACAAACATGCGTGGAAAGTAATTTTGACAAAAAAAATAATTTTAAATACTTGGTAGCTTATCAGTGTTGTTTGCCCCAGAAATAGACACATTATTTCAATATGTTAGTTTTAGGCCATCTTTATTTCATTTAAAGAAACATAAATACTATTTATTGAAGTTTTGATGAGCTGTCATTCAAATTTTGTAATGAACATGCTAGAATCATGTAATGCAATTATAATCTAATCTATAATTTAAATATTTGTGTTCCTATGACTAACATGATTTATTTAATTATATTGCTTCTAGCAATATTGCATTCACATTTTTAAACTATTTTTAATATAGGTTTTTTCAGTTGTCTTTTTCTTTTTTTTCTGAGTAAGTACTCTTTAGAAAGCTAAAGTACCTATCACTTAAAAACTGGAAATTCACTTGAAATAGGTGAAATTCTAAACCCACATTTTATGAATGTACATATAAACACATCATTTAGTCATGGAAAAATAAGCAGTTATACAAGTCTGTGAGTGTCTGGGATTTCTTTTAAATAAAAAGGGAGTATGTTCTTTGCACATAAAATACAAAGGGTTACTAAATGAAAGTTGAAAACATAATAGTTTTATTATACCATAAATATAACATGAATTCCCAATGTAAATTGACCAAAAAAAGTTATAGAAGACCAGGTATGTTCGGAAACTATAGTTAAAACAATGGGGATGTGTTTAGTTGAACAAAAACGCTTACTGTTAATGACAATGGACTCCAAACAGTAATTTTTAATTGACTCTTTCATTAATGAAATACCTTACTCTCAGCCAAACCTGGAAACATTCTATGAAAAAAATGTTAGCTTACTTTCAGCTATGTATTTTATCCCTTAAAAAACTGACTGAAATAGAAATCAGTGTCATTAAAATCTTCACATGGGAGCTTCTACATTTCTTTGTTGTTATGCATAGCATATAAATCTGCATGTCCCATAACAGTGCTTACTGTATCAATGAACACTCAGTGCAGCCAAAGTGAGAGATGTGGCACTTCTATTGGACAGAATTTGAATAGTATCTTGAAATAAGTGTCTGTTCCTTTTTCTTTGAACTTGTTACAAATTGAACTTCACAATTCTGAAAAATCCGTTAAGACACTTTCAGTTTAAAGTATTTTGATATGAGTATAGCTTGCTTTTAGCATTATGATTCTTATTTTGTCTCATTTATTCACAAATATGAATTTGATCTTGAACACATGCTGCTGGAGTGAGTGGATTCTGAGTAGCTATAGTAGTGAGCATTATAGCCAGAAAAATTTGCAAGATATGCATCTTAACCTAATCTGGGATGAGGAACACTTTGCCCTGAAATTTGGCCCCTCCTCTTTTTCACTCATCCCTCTCTCCCCCCACTTCCCCCATCCTTTATTTTCTTTTCCGTTTTCTTTTTTCCTTAGGGAAAAGTAGAGAACAATTTCTTCCCACGTTATGACTATGTCTTACTATTTTGCAATATTATTTAACTACAGTAGGTATGACAAGGAGAGAAAATATGCAGACAGTGAAAGAGATGCCTAGAGCATATCCAAAAATAAAATAAAATTCCTTAGATAGATTGTTAAAATATTTGATTACAGTAAATTGAACAGTTAATTGGAATAATATGCACATTTAAAAGGCAATAAGTGGAACATTCTGAAAGAATAATTAATCTTGTGTTTATACTGTATTTTATTGTATATCATGTTTTAAAAACATGAGGATTTTTATGAAACCTTTTGAAACGAGAATCAGAATTTGCAGTAGATGAGAAACCAGATTAGTTGGGTACTTGTAACACTTTTGTGCCAAATCTATATAGGTATTTCTTTTCCTTATTTTCCTTTGCTAATTATGATGGAACA